AATGAAACACTCGATGTTGCCGAACCCGATACCCGAATAGATGACGATGGTACAAATGTTTTGTGTTGTTCGACCATGAAGAAATTCGTATAATAATCGCACGCCTGAAAGAACAAAGCAGCGGCTGCCGCTGGATTGCCAGACGAGCTATACAAAAACGGTGGCGTAGTACTGATACGATGTCTACATCAGCTTCTTTACAAAATATGGTCTACGGTGAAAGTATGCCCGAAGATTGTTACCTAAACGTTTTCAACAAAAATGAGGTCCCCATCCATTCCTCAAAATCGCACACAAAGTCCTTTCGAACGTATTGTGTGAAAGACTAAAAACCATCGTCAACAAACTGATTAGACCTCATCAGCATGCGCGAAATCTTGGAAAAGAGCCGTAAAAAGAAGACTGGCTCACACCGCAGCCTTTAGCACTACGGAAAAGAACTGTCTTTACGCCGCTATGTCTGAATGTGTTATCCATGCATAACTTATATGTCTGTATAAAAGCCCCTGCGGGTTAGTGGCTCAAGAATTTACTTGTGGTAAGGCATGCCTGTCGAAAGACGCGACTAAAATCCAATAGTTCCCGCGACAGACGGGTCTTTATACCGGAACGACCCGGATTTTTATCCGACCAAGGACGTCACTCCCGCAATATTCCCCAAAAAGCGGTTACAACAACAACAACAACAACATGACTGTATAAACTGACGTTAAGCAACACTAAGAGCTCAATCGGTGTCGATTAGGACCTTTCCTTGGGGTCAGACAAGGTAACTCCTTGTCGTGTGAGTTTTTTTAGTTTTTTGCAAAATTAAGTAGGAATGATACAATCTTCGATAAGAGTGTATAGTTGCTGCGTATGATATTGACAACAACATTACCGTAAGTTCTACTTCCTCCAGACATGTTAAGGATGCGAAGCAAATGAGTCTCTTAGTGAACGAGGGCAAGACGAATTATCCCCTGTAATCAAACTAATAGTCAACGCGTTTGGCGACTCGGCAACCACGTCCCTGTTGACAGTCAAAACTTCGAGGTCGTAGATAGCTTCGTGTATCTTAGAACCAGCATTAGTATCATCGACTATGTTAGCCTTAAAACAGAACATAGAAGCACTCTTGGCAGTGTAGTTCCTGGACTGAACATACAATTAGTAAAGTCCTCTTTCGACGAACAAAAACCAAGCTCTATAAGTCTCTCATTCGTCTCGTCCGACTATCTGGTGCGGAGGCTTGGACGACGTCAACATCTGATGACATGACATTTATATTTTTCGCAGAAGTTCAGTTCCTTTTGCCTTACTTATAATTGAAATCCCTACGTAATAAATACGATCCTGCAATGAACTGTAAATATGCCACTCCCATCGAAGCGTTACACACTTGGCCCGTATCTTGTACCTACCGTTTAATTATGAGATGTTTTTAAGCACTTTGCATTTAATTTTAGACGTTCTAAAAATATATGTATGTAAAAATAATGTTTGGAAGATAAACTTAGTACGTTTTATGGTAAAAATCAAAAGAATGTTCATTAATTAGTCTGTTCACGTGTGAGAAGAAATATTTCAATCTCTACTAAAATTAAATTTGCTTATCATTGAATTTGTTTATTACTGAAAATGTACTCTTAACAATTTCCAAGTCTATAATGCTTTGTCTGTGTAGACAAACAAACTTCACATATCCGCACAAAAATCCTGCGGTGTTAAACCGTACGGTCTTGAAGGCTACGCCACAGGCCGAAGACGAGAAATAATGCGCTCGCCATAAGATTCCTTCAATAAATTTATTGTTTCGTTTGTTGAATGGCTTGCAGCGCTATCTTGGTGGAACCTAAGGTTGTCCACCTTAAAAATCGTCCAACTCAGGTGGAAAAAAAGTCCTCGACTTCATTTTTGGAGAATTATGAACCGAAGTTATTGGTCAGGACGAACAAGGACATTTTGAGGATGTAACAGCGTCTCAACAAGGGCTTGTGCTTTATCATCTTTTCTAATGCGACAATTTTGTTTTCAATGTAACAATCTAACCAAGAGTGAGCTTCAACAATGCTGAAACAAACTTTTCTTTTGAAAAACGGGATCATTCAACGAACATGCGACACGTTCGAAGGTCATTCGCCTTAAATTCGTGCACGAGCAAGATTTGGTAAGTCCGCAAACCATTCACAAAGCGGATGGGCACAGCTCCAATTGCTGTGTGTGATGGCCAATGAAGTCATGCGGATCTTCTTCAATACTCTACTCCTCAACAGCAATTAATAATTAAGTCGACTATAATATCAAGATCATAATAGTGCAAGTATTACTCGAGTCTCTCGAAGCAGCTCGAGCTCTTCGTCTATAATGGTGATTGTATTCTGATAACGCTATTCACTATTCAGTCCAGTACTCCAGTACATGGGTTCAACCTCATGTAAAGTTTCACTATGCAAACGATGGCATCAGGAGGTTGACTTTTACGGTCCTAAGAGCGCTGTTCTGACATGCTTGTAGCTTCTACATCTGTGCCTCGATAGTCTCCGAATTGCAGATTGTTGCAGTGTAATTTACCACCGGCCGGTCAATTGCCTTGGATATGGCTAGCGGCGTTTCTTTGTCTTTTCCCAGGTGCTACCGACTAACGATTGGAGGCTTTCACTGCGACAGTTGGATTGAAAATACCAAGGGAAACCACACTGCTATTACATGGGTCTCTAATCAACCGTAAATAAAGATGTCTTGAAGTTATAGGGAGAGTGGTCAGGACATCTGGCTGTCGTATTGATTTTAAGAATGATAGGAAAATCTTGACCACTAGTCAAGTGCAAGTTACCGGCAGAAGACCCCTTCCTATTTTCTTATTAATCACATCGTGAAAAAGTCGAAATTATTTTCGGTTGTGAATGCTTGAATTCATTGGCTGAAGTATCTAATGCTAGTTCCAGTTGCTCTTAGGGATATAATAAATTCAAGATGGGTACCCAGCCATTATTGAAATTATAGGGAAATTGACCTGCAGAGTTTTTGAGACAGTTCATCACTATTTAGGGTGTCGGGGTCAACGAAATAGGGTTGTCCGTAGATGTTGATTCCTGCAGAAGTAAATACATCGGATCGAAAAACTACCAATCAAATGTGATAGACGGATGCCATGTCCTAAGTGCTCATGACGTGCTCAAGCTTCGAGGACCCACCATCGACTCGGACCACTATCTTGTAGCAGCAATAACACGCAACCACCCCTGTGATCTGATGACCGATGCCCAGAACATACTGGCAGTGACAATGGAACACCAACAGATGGCTCGCTTGAAAAACAACAAAGCTGTAGGAAACTGAGAAATTGTCGGTTGAGCTTTTTAAATACGGTGGCGTAGAGCTAATAAGGAGAATGCTTCAGTATAGGCTCGGATGAAAGCATGCTCGAATATTGGTGCCAATGTGTACTCTGCTCAATCTATCATACTAAAAGAAGATCCCACAGTCTGCCATGGGGTATGCTACTAAATATCGCATATAAAGTTCTACTGAGGGCACTTTGTAAAAAGACGAAAGCCCACCGTCAACAAATTTGATTTGACCTTGTCAGTGTGGCCGCTTCTGGCGGCCGATGATATTGAAATCTCTCCTGCCATCAAACAAACAGTCATCGCATTCGCCACTCAGCTCTCACGTCACTGATGACAATCATCTTTGAAGACGTATATATTTTGCCTATCTTGGAACCAGCATTAACACCAACAACAATATCAGCCTTGGCATCCAATGCAGAGTCACCATTGCGAACAGATGCGATTTTAGAGTGAGTAAACAATTAGTAAAGTCTTCTCTTTACAAAGAAAAACATTTCTATAATTCCCCCCAACATTTCTGTCTTGCAATATGGGGCAGAGGCATGGACGATGGCAACATCTCATGAGTCAGAGTTGCGAATTTTCGAGTGAAAGGATTTTTCGTAAGATTCATGATGCTCTCTGCGTAGGCAACGGTGTCTACCGCAGCTGATAGAACAATGGCCTGTACGAGATATACGGCAACATTGACATAATTCAGCGAATTCCGAGACAACGGCTACGCTGGCTAGGTCATAAGGTCCGTACGGATAAGAATACACTAGCTTTGTATGTGTTCGCTGCCGGCGGAGGAAGCAAAGAAAGGGAGATACTTGCACTTCATTGGAAAGACCGGGTGAAGAAGGACAGCCAGACTAGATATTTACAATCGGTGTCAAACAGCGGAAAGAAATGGAAAGGGAATCAATTGCGCGCTATTGTTGACGCGGCTATAACCACGTAAGCTGTTTTATATTCAACACAAAGATCTAGCTGACTTCAGTAAATGATATTAGTGAAAAAAAAATCCTACCTCAGTCAAATTATGCTCTCTCGGATTTAGTTAATTTTATGTCAGATTTCCTACAGGGTGTTTTGTTGAATGCATTTACCTTTACACGTTCACGCATACGTGTATGTACCATAAATACATGCCCCGGTATATGTATGTATATGCAGCAAAATTCACACATCTGCAGCCATTTGAATTTATTTTCGTACATCTCAATATGTAAACAAAGCGAGATCCAAGATGCCAAAGAAACGAAATGTAAACGATCTGTTTAGGTCAGGGACCACAATAGCGCTCTGTCTGCTTGGGGGATCAAAACAAGGAGACTATTTTTAGCATATCCTGCTTGTTGTGTTCGCAGCTAAGAAACGTTGATGCAGTTGATGTGGAGTTAGTGAGTGAGTTAGGGAGTAGTGAGTGAATGAGCATTTAAAATTAAATTTTGGTTTTTCCACAAATATTTATATGCACATTCTCCTAAAAAAAAAAAACAACCAAAAGGAAGAAATATTTTAAAAAATTATACTAAAAAAATGATACTAAAAAAATAAAAAAATATATATATAAAATTAAGTGATTAATAAAAAACAAACAAAAAATCAGTAAAAGTTATTTAAAAAAATAAATAAAAATTACCTATAGATATTTTCATTTTGCATTTATAAATTAAGTCGTGTTAAAAACTATAAAAATAAAATTAAAAAAATTAAAATGCACTCTTCATTTGGCACGCGTAACATTGGCCAGAGTTTTGGTTTTAAACTTTTTTGTTGCCGTGTATGTACCTGTGTAAATTTTGGCTTTGTCAATTCACGTGTGGGCCTGATTAAAATTTTGCAATTAACTTTGGCGACTTTGTGTGAAGGCTTGCTCGTGCACTATGGCATACCAGCCGTCGATACAATTGGACAAGCGCTAACATCCATGCTAACAACGACCGCTTATTGCTTTACAACAACAGCTATATTGATGATATGCTATTGCTTTTCGGAGAAGTCATCGAGTCTTATCAGGCAATCGCTCTTTGTAGGTGGCATTTAAGGGAAAATTTAATATTAAAAAAAAATAACTTTTAATAAATTTATTTATAAATGTTAAGAAAATTATGTGCTATTTCAACATCTTTTCTACTGTATATATTACCAAAATATATGATTTGGAAACAATTTTCTTTTAGGAGACACTTTTCAATGGCGTCGCTTGCAGCATGTACTTCAGCTCGTCCAGTTATATGGGTTTCGCTTGTGTAGTTTGGCTGCATCCGCAATTTCTTGTGCGTCCTGGTTTCTGGGCATATCCAGCCATGACAGCGGCATATGTGAGTTTTCAGATACAAGCCATATAACTCGCTCATTTTATCTGTCTTAACATGCAATATAATTTTTTTTTTCACAGTATATGGGCTATGCTGCGGGCATTTTACATGCTATCGATGCCTATTTAGCTTTTAGATATTACAGAGGTTGTCGCTAATAAGAAAAGGTTTGATTTTAGCAAAATATCTTTTACAATTTTATTTATTTTTATTTTTTTGTTTTTTTTTTATTTTTTTGTGTATACATTGTAAATTGTTTGCATTTTCAAAATTCATAATTTAAGTTTTTTTGTGCAGCACACTTAAGGCACGTACGAGTGAATATTTTATTATTAAATAATATTATAACTTTTTGGTAGCATTTATTTATATAAAATAATTTAAAATAAAATAGGAAATTATATTAAGTCATAAATAAAATAAAATTAATTCGTACGAATCACAAATATTGCAGTTAATCTCTTAAAATAAAATAAATATATATACAATGTAAATTTTCAAAATGAAAGGATTTTATAATGATAAAAATTATGCATAAAAAACATATTAACAAATAAATGCATTAAATGAGTTATTTAAATTTAATCACTATTTTTTTTTTTTTGCACTAGAACTGTTAGCTTTCGTATTTAATATAATCGAATTAATGCTACCAAGCATTTGCCGCATGCAGGAGATTCTTAAAAAAACTCTTTCCACTTGATTTAATCGATTTTATTTTGCGCCTTAAATTTTCTGAAAATAAAATTAATCATAATAAAATATACAACTTTTATCGCACACTTACTTCAGTTTTTTATACGCCTCATCCGATTCATAGTCTGCCTTCAGCAAAGCTATACGCACCCAACGTGGACGCTCATGTATCACTTTGTGTATGACAAATTTCAAGCCCAATAGTAAATGTTCAAAAAGTATAAATGTAATATCTGGCATTTGTGGAAAGATTTTGGAGAAAAATCCTCTGTAAAAATGGAAAGTGAGTGAAGAATGGTCATAAGGAAAAATTTAGTATTTCAACTCACTTCACATTTGGCTGCAAATACAATAGACCACAATTGCTCAAAATTGCCATTACCGAAAGTAATTCGAAAGCCGACTGCCAAGCGCCAATATTTTTAGCACGACGACCAAATGGACGTTTGAATATATTACAAAGCTATTAAGTAACAGAGATTAACGTAAAGTTCAATAAAAACTTAATATAAATTAATTAAACTCTACATTATACCTTAAACAAGTCAATATGCATGGCGAAGATATTATTGATTAAAGCGCCGAATGCAGCAAAAGGTGCAACAGCGGCAAATAAAACGACATAACCGAACTGTATACACATTTGCAGATAGTCTTCATAAGTCGATTGATATTGATCGAGTCCGGCTTCGTAGAAACATTGTTCGTAGCGTGCCAAATCGGTGACATTGCTCTTTATTCCCTCATCAATCTCTTTGTGCATATATTTTACGAATTTCTGACGCACTACAGCCATAAGTGGTATGCCAATTTCTTGAGCAATACAAACGATCTGCCGAATTACAATATGAAAATATTATAATAATTTATTTATATTTTGAGCAACAACTTAGGCAGACCTGGAAAATGAGTAACTGCATCATTAATTGATATTTCAGCTGCTTCAAATCCTGCAGCACAAATGCAATATAAAAGAGTGAAAAGAAATTGTTGACAATTTCAAAAAGCATCAATTTATTTACGCGATGACGATCGTATTGTGAACGTGTACGATGATTTTCTTGGTCAGTTAGAAAAGTAGCTAACTTCTCGTAGGCCCAAGAGAATATAGCAATTAGTATTGATTGTACAATTACAGGGATATAAAGCAATAAAGAATCCGGACCTATAAAAATTTAATATTTAATTAGTAGTATCTAGAAGATTCAATGTAAAAATATATTTTGTTTTACCAAAATCTGCCAATACTTCCGCTTCTATCTGAAACTGATATAACGCAAAATAAGCCGCAGCCGCCACACAAATAAGCACGACAGGATAAGAGACACAATACATTTGCAAATAAGTGTAACGCATAGGATACTGCAGCATCATTTTGCCCGTTATTGGATCCGGTTTCAAGACGCCATGGTAAGCTGAACGTGGTTTGTCAAGACTACTCATCTCTATATTACCCCAACGATACGAATAGCCAGAGCAGCGACGCTTCCACAATTCAAGGAAAATCTGAAAAATTTAAAATAATCATTTTTAGTAAAAATGCATTTAACAAAGAAATGTGAATAGGTTTATAAAAAAAAAAATCAACTACCGTTGTCCATAGCACATAAAAACTGCAAACCAATGACAAATTCACATTCCACATATATTGCAGCATACCGAAAATCGCCGGGAATATCAACGCCTTAGTGTAGAACTCAGTAAAACCAAAATAGAGCGCAATACTTGAACCGAAATAGTTGCATATGTCTTCGATAGGCAAACGACTACGACGCCAATCAAATGCGAACCTATCTAAATACTCCTGTAAAGGGTGATTGAAAGTATCGGTTATAAATAATTTATGATTATAAAAGTTAAAGCTTACAATATTATGTAATGGAAAGAAGTCTTCAATTATGCCATTTCTTATGTAGGACATAATTGCTGGCTTAATCATATCTTTAATGAGCACTGGTCCCTCACATTCTCTCACAATATCCGCCGGTGTCATGCCAGGCAGCAGGTAATCGGATATACAATCACAATTAAACTTTTGCATGCTGCCGGTAATGGTTAACTTACTCAGTTCGGCTACATCGGCGAAGTGCAGCAATGCCTCCGTAGTGGCAGATAAATAGAGGTATTTTTCGGTTTTGCTGCAATGAAGTAATAAATATGCTTAATATTTTTAGGCAAAAAATGACTTGTGGATTCGAGAAGTTTTCAAATTTAAATAATAAAGTGCTTACATTAATAAATAGAAAATATTTGATTTGAATAAGCAATACACAGGACATTAATTGTTGCAATTAGATGAATTAAGAATTCTTTATATGAAAATGTTGAAAACTGCAATAGGTTAGGATGCTACCCAATTCACCTACATGCGAACCATACTCAATACACATATGACACATACCTTACAACCTCGAGCGTTGTAAGCACTTTGAATTCTTGTATTATCTTTTCCACATCTTGGCAGTGGCGCAGTTTGGCCTTGTCTGAAAATATTATTACGGCATATGTCTGAAAAATGATTGCGCATATTAACTAAAAGGTGTTTAAGTTTACTGGACTGGGTGGAGTCAATTACCTTTTCGAAATCGGGCACATCAATGGACTGTTTTTGGCGTATGCTCCTTTGCCGTCGGAACAACTGATTTTCAATAATCGAAGTAATACGTGGACCTTTGCAAAAAATTATTGTAAAAAAAATTAAATAATGTTATCATAATTCTAAAGAAATATGCTATAAAAATTATAAATTCAAAATACACACTTTTGGCACCATCTGACATTTTTCACTCTTTATTGTATTAATAAATATATGTATCTCATAATTTTGGCCACCTCTTCAGCACTAACCAACAATTATCGCCTACAACAACTTTTTGGCAATGTACGAACAATATGCAATGGAAATATTTCAAAATACATAAATATATGAAATGATTCTACTTGACATGGTGTAAGAGAAATAAACAAATACACAACAAAATTGCCGTAAGAAGTGTCAAAATCACTAAGCACCAACAACAACAATTCGATATGACGTTGTCATCTTTGCCGGCATTTGTGCTTCTATTCCGAAGTGGCGATTTTTCCCCCTTTGTTTGCTTGGCAGCTGCACCGCCTTGCATTCGATCCCATTCCCATAGTACTTCAGCCTCTGGATCCAGAGCGTAATTGTTACTTTCTATTTGAGTAATTATAAGATGAATATTTCTTGCTATTGCTTTTGAAAAAAAATTCAAAAATCATTTACTAGGCGACGGTGGTGAGCTAGGGGACAAATATATGAGCTATGAGGCGAGTTATTATTGATGCAAGATGGCAGCACCACCACTCTCTTCAAATGTCAGTTGGACTTCTTTCCCCAATCTCAATCTTCCTCTTTGTATTTTCCTGCCTTTTCCCGGTAATGTTGTTTGGGGGTACTCTTTTGCTAAACGCTGCTATGATGCAATAGAAATTGTTGTTGGATTTTAATTAACAAATTCCGGAGGTGAAAGTGAAAATCACAATCGTGACGGTGAAAAACAAATATTTCTCTATCAATAAAATAAAGCAAATTGTGAAATTAATTTCAAAACTACAGTGCCAAGTGTGGAAAACCGATTCGTCAATGACATGGGGCAATCGATTAAAGTGAAAAGTCCGTGAAGTAAATTGGATGTTGAAACAGGTAAAACTAAATGTATATGTGAGGGCTCAATTATCTATACTTACTTGCGTTTTCCACAAAGTCCATTTACGGCCAATTACATGTTTGCCGGCTGCATTGGTGTTCTCAAACGTTCCCTTCAGCGACGTCACATTACAACGCTGCCACCGCTGATAGTGGCGCAGCGCCTAACCTCGAAAGTGCGTTCAGCCGTATCCAAAGCAATGGTTGAGAGCTTATGAGTGAATATTAAATTTCTATAAAAAACAAAGTGAAACAAGGTGCTATAATAAGATGAGTCTAATTCCAAAATGGTCGGACATTCGCGTGCTTCCTTTTCGTATGTCTACCTCGCAAAAGGTAAGCTTCACGTCTGTTTTTACGAACTCTATTTGTAATTACTAAACAATTAATAAATTATTCGATTTACAAACTCAGGTTGTTTTCTTTTCGCTAACCGCTGGTGTTGCTTTGCTCGGTGTGCTCGCACGCTTTCTGCGACGTCGTAAACCACCACGTCCGCAACGACGCACGCGCAAGTATACAGGTCGCCGTACACGCAACAGCATGCGCAGCCCCAACGATATGATATCCATAGCTGGTTCTAAAGCCTCAGCACGATCAGGCAGTCCGCCCGGCTCGACGGTTGCCTATTCGGATCGTTTGTCGCTCGCATCAGGATCGATTGGTGGCGGTGCATTAGTATCTACATCACAAAGTCAAACTGGCGCAATAGTTTTACATTTGACCGCACAACAATTGGGCGTGATGGGCATGGAAGCGTTAGATACAGTTATTAATTACTGGGAAGATGCTTTGGCTGCACACAATTCGCCTGGCGGTGTGCCAGCGTTACTCACCACTGCTGAGGAATCTGAATTTTGTCGTGAAATACAAAATTTACTTGACATGGCCTACACATTACAAGAACAAAGTGAATTACTGTTTCTAGATCAACGTTCGGTTCTCTTCCGTGACGAACCGTCTATTGATGAATTAGAAGAAGATGGAGTTGGTCATGCGTTAGAAGATGGTACAGAGGAAGATAGACAATCACTAAGATCAAGGCTGAGTCGCACGGGCTCCGATCCAAATTTCGATTCCGCCGAAAGTTTTGCTTCAGCGCTCGATCAAGTCGCTGATATGCGGGATTTTGAGGAATTCATAGAGACATCCTATGAACAATACCCATTGTATAGTGCAGCGTTAAAACATCACGAAGATACACCCATCCCATATCGTACTATACGCGCTGACTTAGTGCACTGCTCTAGTGATACGGAATATTTGGTTAAATTGCACTGTGTGCGATTAGCTTTTCAATATTTATTCAAGGTGAGAACATAAAACGGTTTACAAAAATTAAATATTAATTATAACACTGTTAATACACTTCAGGATCCAACCATTGGCCAATGGGTATGCGATACAGGCCGTCAAATACTTACCGATCTACTCTGTTTAGGCGACAAGGATACAAAGGAATTTCTTGTTGGCTACGAGGATATGATCAACTATTTGCAAAATTCAAATAATTGGGATGAAATTCAAAAGGAATTGGAAGCGCGCAATGTAAAAGCGATGACCTTCTACGATATTTGCTTGGACTTTATTGTATTGGACTCGTTTAGAGACTTAGATGCGCCTCCAGCGAGTGTGACGGCGGTCGTACAAAACAGATTTCTTTCAAATGGATTTAAAGAAATGGTAAGTTATGCAACGCAACAAAGATTATGCTGACATGATAAATAAATAGAAGAAACTTAATCACTTGCGCGAAATCGCAGCAATCATTGTATAATTTTAGGCGTCGCATTAATCTTTTAATATTTCATTAAAGGCACTCAGCACAGCAGTATGGTCGGTTTTAAAAGCAAAAAAACATGGACTAAAACATCAGAATGGCTTTATGGGCCATTTCTATGTTATCTCTGAGCAATTATCACCACTTATGGCCTGGGGTTTCTTTGGACCCGATGAAAATTTGCGCGATATATGTCACTATTTCCGTGAACAAATGCTCGGCTTTTTGGTAGATATATTTAGTTTTCAAGCAAGTCGTTTTACAACAGTAGAAGAGTTTGCCGAAGATATACTGCAACATATGAAGACGCGTGTAAACAATATTGGTGTGAAATTTAGTCAATAAATAATTTAATATAAACTAATAAGAATAATAATTTAGAAAAAGAAAACCATTAAAGAATTGTCGTATGGATGTAATGTATAAAATGAACAAGAAAAACAATATAATTGTGCGTGTTATGAATTTAAAAACTATTATACTTATGCATAAGAATATTTTGGTTTAGTAATCAACATGATATGACAATTTGTTATTATTTTAAGTAAAATACGATTGGAGTATGAAAATTAGTTTTTTCTGTTATTTACTATGTATAAATACAAAATGATAAATTTATTCAGTGACTAATGTACCATTAATTCCATAATGTTGTTGTCAACAGCTTTAAATACTATTCCAAATGTTACGAGAGTGTAAAAACTTGATGAAGTTACCTAAATTGTTTAAAATCACACTAGACAAAGAATTTCTGTCATAATTTTAATCACTTTTTCAAAAGCAAATATATGTACATACATAAATAAGCAATATAATCATAGTAGATTATATGTACAAACTAACAATATGTTAGTTATAAGAAGAAATTTTTGGTTTAATGATATTTAATTTTTGAATTATTTCACTACTAGAAAGCATTTGTTATTGATGGCAAATTTAAACATACACACCTACAATATAAGAAAATGAAACTCTTTTTTTTTTTTTATTAGCTAGCTTGATTAATTCAATTGTTTTCAGTTTAGTACAAAAATATATATAAATTGTTACAAAAAAGAAAAGTTAAGCATAAATAACCCATGGCTATATTCTGTTAATATATGTATCGGTTAGCGAAGACGTTGATTTTTAACTTTAATATTGCATATTATGGTTGAAAAAGAATGTATACTTGGTTGGAGTAGCAACACACTTTGTTGATCCCACAGCACACTAGTTATACATGATTACAATTTTTTCTCGATAAAAGATCTTTTTAAATTACTGTTGCTAAGTAACAAAAGCATTTAAACTCTTTATGATTACTCTCAACATTCAGTGTCAGGTTTTCTCTATTTTATATACAATAAAATTACAAATATTATAAATTAATAAAAATTGTATATTTATTTCATGCAAATGCCTAAATTATTCATAAGCTAAATGTTAAAAAAAAACCTGATTATAAACAAAATACTAATAAGGCCAAGATAGGAATAAAAAATTTATACACAACTCAAAGGATTATGGATTTGCGTATTAAAAAAATATATGCATAGAATACTTTCAGTAACTAACTATATTCGAGATGAGTTTAACAGAAAAATCTACTTTCTACCAAATAATCCTTGCAGCTCGATTATAGAAATAAAATTATGTAGTTGGAATCGCTTTCAAGTTTTGATATGCGTTCTTTTGGTTATAATTTTCTTTGAACCTACAGATAGAGAGATAATCGCCCCCACACTATGAAAGCTATTTATTGCTGCAAAGCACTGTATACTCGGCAATCATGAATACGTCTTTGCGCATGCGTATAAACTTAACAGAGCAACCGAATAAATGACAAGAAAAACGGTAAAAATTGAATACATGAATATAAATATTATTATTAGTATTTTCGAAATGTAAATACGTACATACATACCTATATATTTTTGATATATCTGGATTATTATTGAAGCTGTGTATAAACATGGGCCTTTCGCTAAATGAATGGGTATCAACACTGGAAATTATCATAGCGGTATGTACAAATTATTAATTTGAAAAGAAATAACGAATTTGAAGTGAAATGTACATACATATGTATGTATTATTTTTTAGATACTTTGCATACCTGCTGTAGTGCTGCTTTCCTATGTCATACAATTTCCGAAGGACATGCACATGTTCTTCTATCAATGCTCATTGACTACAACAATGGTACTCTGTCTGATCTTCGCACTCAGGGTATGGTTCTATGAATCAAAACAAGCAAAAACGCGACGACATGTGCAAACATTTGTAAGTATGGCGCACTTGGGAAGGGTAAAAGTGTTTGAAGTATTGCAGCACTGGCCAAATTTTAATTAACTTCGTGCAAAAATATATACATACGAGGGTATTAACGAAAGTACGGCAAGTTGACCAGAAAAAAAATTTCTTCGACCCCAGAGATCGCAACAAAAATACTCGTTATTTCAGCAGTGTGGGATGGCACGTTGTTATGATGTAAAATGTAGCGCCGTAAATCCTCTTCCGTCTGACCCCTTTCCAGTTGAAAAGCAGCTACGATTTCAGATCCGGTTAAGTAAACTGACATCATCATTTCTTTTGTTGCTAATATTTGTTACTTAGTTTTATGGGCGGGTTTGTTCCTGTTGGACGCCTTACCATGGACTGCTGTTTTGTTTCTGGATCGTACTTTTAAAACCAAGACTCGTCACCAGTAACGACTTTACAGAATTACTAGACTGACCATTTTCAAATTTCTTTAGGGAAAATTTTTGGGCCTCATTTAAAATTCATGGTATCCATCGAGCAGAGTTCTTCTTATATCCCAGATGAATTACTTAATGTTCGCGATGCAGCCATGGCATTCAAGACCAATTTATTAGCAAACATTTCTTGTGTCAAACGTGGGTCTTCGTCAGTTTTGGACTTCACCAGAGCTGCAGTGACGTTACCAATGGAAGATTTTTGTCGGTCTTCTCAGGGCTCTTTCTCTATGGAAAAATGACCGGTCTGGAGTCTTCGGAATCACATAGTAATTGTTATTGAAAGACGGTGCAATCGTTTCATACGCAATTTCGCATACAATGAATATTGGTATTGGCTGTAAATTGCGCCGAAACTCGAAGAGAATCACATGGCGAATTTCTGTTTGCGTTGGTGGTGTAATTTCGTCTGACCTATCCTCAGCTATTTTGCGTTTTCTCGTCTTCATTTATCGTTCCAAAATTTGAAAGGAAAACTAATAAAATAATTGCAAAGGATTTGGTATTTTTAGATTTAACAAAAACATTTTGAAAGTCACCAACTGAACGAACTTTTGTTACTCCCCTCGTTTATAATTATGTGAAATGTTTGGTTTTGTGTTGCATACTTTTAGGGATAATAATGAGGCTAACTTTTATAATAGTTTTCTTTCCTTATTTACAGTGTGTTGTCGTTTTATGGATTATGTTTATTTTCGGTCTTGTAATGGCGATACTATTTGACACACAGTACACAGGAAAACTTATATACGATGTTTTCGATCCAGCTATTTTTGATGATCTCGACCTGACGCTACTATACGTTGCTATGATTGTGGGCATCATAGTCCTTGTTTTACTCTTCATCGTCAATGTCATAATAACTATAAGTGTTTGTATGGGATTTTTTAAAAGAGAAGAATAATTCGAGTTGAAATAAAATTTCCCAATAATAATATCAGACAAGTGTTTGGAAACCCTCGCATCAGAAACATTAACTACTGGGCTATTACAGCAGGACTTAAAGTTAATACTGCTAAATCAAATCTCTGTCAATTCACAAAGAAATGCAAAATACCGAAGCTGGAAGAGGCTACTTTGAAACCGAATTCTAGCGCTAGTTACCTGGAAATTGTGTTGAATAGCAAGTTGTTGTGGAGACTCAGTGTAGTTGAAAGCATCTGTCTCTCCCCCACCATCTCTCATTCCATTTTCATTTTGATTATCAAGCCAATACTTTTCTGTGAGGCTGTAATATACTGGAAAGCTGTGGACAAGTTAAAATATCTATATAGGCTGGAAAGGGTTTTCAGTTTTTCAATGACGAGCTTCACCGGTGCACTCTAATCAACACCATCTGCAACACTACAAGCGATTTTAAGTATTCCACCAAAAAATCTAGTAACTAAAATCAAGGAATTCCTTTCTGCTGCCAGGCTAAACGATTCTAGGCAGCTGAAAACCAGGACTTACGAGCGTCTAGGAGTGTACACCCGAATAGACCATGTAATAACGCGGGAAGCTGTTGACATTTTCAATAGAAGCGTACGTCTGGAGCAAAACGAACCAAAATGGAATGAGAAAAGAAGGCAATTTAAACTGCCAAACCATTGCAGTCTCTTCCAAGCCGAAATATTGACTATAAAAAGCTGACTTTCAAAGGAAGAGAATACATATTTATATGGATAGCCGAGCGACTATTAAGGCGTTGTCTTCATATAACACGAAGTCGGTCGGCTAAAAAAAGATTAGTTTACATTTATTCATTGCCAGCTCACAGAAGCATCGAAGACAATGAGATAGTTTACGAACTGGCTGAGGATATTACAGGATTTAGTTACAGACTTCCTAGTTCCACGCAGGGAAGTGAAGCAAGCGAAAGAAGTATATTGCTTTGCCAGACGAATCGACTTTGGGAAAGATAATGCTATTTACTTATATTACTATTGGTAAAAATACCGGATACCAGGCTGTTAAAGGGTCATAGGCTTTTGGCATCGCATGTCTTGAATCTAAGTATTATTGAGGACAACCGGTACAGCAGATGTATGGAATGTGTGAAGACAGTGGAGCACATAATCTGTGAGTATGCCAAGGTACCAAAACGACTACTTAAATTTTCAGTGTTATTGTGAGGCAACACCATGAACGTATTTAATATCGTCTATGTGAGACCCGATGGATCAGTCAGTTAAATCTAACCTAAACCATATAAAAAATCCTCAATTTCGAGTTTATTTTACAGCTGAAGCGGGTAATTATAAGAAGAACCAATGAAAGGAAAGGGAGGAAAGACGAAAGACCAGATGCAGAAGGACCTGGCTGTACTAGATACAACCCTTTTTTGGGCGACTATTTATACTATATAATATTCGTGAAATTCGCTAACCTCAATAGCACTGTGGGCACAATACCTAAATATTCAAGTATTTGAGCTCAAAAAAATACGTTATTATTTAATTTATTTTTTGAGAATCTCCCCTTAATGAATTACCCTGCATTCGATTTAAAAGCGTAAACTTCAAACAGCAAAAGACAAATGACAAAGCTAAAGAAATGTGATTGTAAGAATATAAGTTTGGTTAAGATCCTTCTGTTAGGGACGCGTAGGCAACATGAAATGTCTGTCGGTGAAGGAATGTGCCTCCACACTTCAAATTATCATAGCGGTATGCATGGTTAAATTTCGAAAAATATATGTATTTAAATTAAAATCGTATTTTCTTCTTTTTGTTTTTTTTTTTTTTTGTTTTGTTTTAGATGCTTTGCTTGCTAACGGTTATGCTCTTCTCTTTCGTCATACCATTTCCGGAAGATTTGAAAATATTTATGTTCCAATGCTCAATGGCCACCACAATGATGCTCTGCTTGATTTTCGGCTGTAGCATATGGTTTTACAATTCGAATTATCATAAAACTCGTTTTCACGTGCGCGTATTTGTAAGTATCGGCTGAAAAGGAAATTTACCTACAGAACTAGCAGATTTCGTATCTTTTTTTCATTTCTCTTCACCTTCAGATCGTTGTCGTTTTGTGGATTACGTTTGCTTTGGATGTCGCAACTGCGATCCTTTGTGATCTTCAATTTGTCGGCAAACTCTTATACGACTCTTTCGAACCGGAGTTTTTCGATAAACTTGACTTTATGTTATTGTATTTAGCTATTCTTCTGGGTATTATAGTTATCGTTTTACTATTTATTGTCAATATTATATTAACTGTTGGTGTTTGTCGCCGAGCACGAAAGGGAAAACGTGTAGGCAAATAAATGGATTAGGCAATATCTATGAATTACGAAGTGTTTTAGGTCTAGTAAAAAGTAGGTGTACAACTTTGCGTCCGCCGTTTTCCGAGTGAGTGTGGACAGCGCCTAACGAATTGTCATCGCCGTTTCAGTGACAGCTGTTCTTGTTTTCGTATTATTCCCGCTCGAAAATGTCCGTTTATGTGCCTAATTCTCGTCATTTGCGGGAAGTTTTACTTTTCTGTTACAATTCGAAAAAAAATGCAGCTGAAGCGCATCGAAGCGCTCTCAGAAACTTACGGTGTTGCTGCTCTGAGTGAAAGAACGTGTCGGGAGTGGTTTCAACGTTTTAAAAATGGTGATTTCGACGTCGAAGACAAACATGGTGGTGGAAGAGAAAAAACCTTCAAAGATTTACTACGAGCTCTTAAAACCGGATGAAACCATCACAGGAGATCGCTACCGAACGCATCTGATGCGCCTTAGTCGCGCGCTAAAAGCCATCCTCCAACACGACAATGCTCGTCCTCACGTCGCAAAAATGGTCAAAATGTACCTGGAATAGGAAGTCTTACCCCACCCGCCGTATTGCCCAGATGTCGCCCCTTCTGACTTCCACCTATTCCGTTCGATGGCACACGGCCTGGCAGATCAACATTTTCAATAAGAATTGGAAAAATTGATTGCTTCATGGATAGCGTCAAAAGAGGACTCCTTTTTTCGAGCCGGGATCCGAAAATTGCCGGAAAGATGGGAGAAAGTTGTCGCTAGCGAAGGACAATACTTTGAATAATATATCTCTAAGCACTTTTTCGCAATAAAGCTTTTAATTTTGGAAAAAACGGCGGAAGCAAAGTTGTACACCTGATAATCCATTGCGATAAATGGCTTTACTAAACTGTATGTCCTGCGATTGGGCTGTAAAGGTGAAATTTTGCACTAAAAAAGATAACCGGAGAAGTGTTGATCGCTTTAAATGGACACCAGAGAAGAGAAAATGCGCTTTATTCTACATTTCTTCTTCGATAAAGGCGCAAACGCAAGTCATGCCGCTGGAAATGTGAATAATGTTTGAGATTCTGATACTATAACAGTTCATCATGCAGAATTTTGCTTTCATCGATTTTATTCCGGAATTTTAGATTTTAAAGATGGCTCACGATGTGGAATGCCAATTTTCGAAAATGTCGCTAAAAGAACTGTTTTGATTGCCCGGGAGCTGAATGTTATACAAAAAACAATTTGGAACCACTTGAAAAAGGCGGAATACGCAAAGAAGCTAGATGCATGGGTGCCCTATGAGTTAACGAGAAATAAACCTCATGGACCGAGCTCCCATCGCTACTGAATCGTAACAAAGTGGAGGAAGCAACTGCCCAGAAAGGTCCAGCTTTGACTTACTAGAGGGAAATTGCGTTTCAGCAGAACAACGCCAGATCACGCACAGCCATAGTGACTCGCCAGAAGCTCCGAGAGCTCAATTCGAACCTCGCAACTAGTCATTACCATCTATACAAGTCTATGGCGACTGGTTTACCTGGTGAAGAATTGTCTTCAAAAGAATTCTGCTGAATTCGAACCAAGAGTTCTCCTATAGAGAGTACATAATGGTATTAATTTCAAAATGTCAATAAATATTATATATTATATATATTATTATATATATATATATAATATTTGACATAAATCAGATAGTAAATGCAGTAATTTAGCCTCAGTTCAATGACCTGATTAAGGGTTATCTACGCTCTTATTCGCAGTTTAGTACAATTTTCTAAATGAAATGAAAAATTACATAATACACCATTTTTACACATTTATTTTTAAATTTCATATACAAATTTTCAACCTGTATACAATAGACGAGTATTTATAAAAAATTATGCAAATACTTACAAAAGTATTTTGACAAATATTATATATATATATATATATATTACTTAACTGTAAACAGAAAAAAAAAATAATTCGTTTTGTTGTTAGCAAACATTTTTGGTTTCTTCTCTTTCGTTTAATTGTTCTGTTCCCACTTGTACTCGTGCACGCGTGCGCAATTTATGGCTGTTAAGATGCTTATTTTTTAAGATAAAAAAATTTATGTGATTCTGTGTGCTTAACAAACATTTAAATAAATCTTAAACTTAGTTTAACTTAAATTATCGTCATAGAAAAATAAACGCATTGCAGCCGTGAACACCTTTAAAAACTTCCTCCAGTCCACGAAGGGCAATTTCTCCGCTTCGTTTCGTTCATCAAACTTAGATGCCACGGTATGATCGGTGTGCCAAAAATGCGCTGATGAAGTACAAGACGGCATTTACGAGTCCAATAATACCGCCGGCCATATAACTCTCGTATTGGTTACCATATCGGTAACGTCTGTCTTTCAGATGGATAACAAGAGTTAAGGAAGCGGCTAACAACAAAATTGCCGCAATGCTGTGGTAGATGAGTTCCTTTGAGTAGAAAATAATTAAATTTAGTTTAATTTTAATTTATTTGTTTTTTCTTTTTCTTAAGATGAAATTTCCTCAACTCACATAGATGGTTTTCGCAATAATGCCGCCCGTACTGAGCGATGTTAAGCAGGCTAGTAGAAGACAAAATGTTCCTATCAGGAATGTCGTGGCCATGAGGAAGAAGAAGATCTCAGCATTGGTGGCAGAGCCATTCCAATAGTAGCCGAAGATGCCAACAGTGGCGATTCCAAGTAACTGCAAGCGAGACAAAAATTAAACTCATTAACATGCAATACAACTACAAATTAAAAATTAAGAAAATAAAATGAAAAAATAAAATGTATAAAAAATAAATAAAATGAAGAAATATAAAATGAAAAAATATAAAATAAAAACACATTAAATAAAAATAATATAAAATAAAGAAACTAAATTAAAATAAAATGCATACGAAAATAGACAATAAAATAAGGTTAAGAAAAATAAAATAAATAACAAATACAAAAAGATAAAATAAAATAAGTAAAACCAAAGAAAATAAATTAAATAGCACAAAACAAATAAACAAGGAAATAGAGAAAAATAAAACAATATGAAAGTAAATAAAGCAAATAAGTAAAAAAAATATAATAAAACAAAAAATAAATTAAAATAAATTGAGTAAGATAAAATAAAACATAATAAGTTGAAGCAAAATAAAATAATAACAATAAAAACTAATAAATATAAAAGATAAAGTAAAATCAAATGAAAAAAAAATATATTAAATAAAACCAAGTAAAGAATATGCAATAAACAAATTAAAATAAATTACGTTAAATACAATAAACTAAAATAAATTAAAGCAACATATAATAAAATATAACAATGTTAAAGAAAATAAAATAAAATATATTAATCCAAATTAAAATTATATAAAAGTTCAAATTAAATCAAATAATAGCAGTAAAAAAATAAAAAATAAAATGAAATGAAATGAAATAAAATAAAACATAAATTAAAATAAATTGTAAGATAATATAAAATATAATAAGTTGAAGCAAAATAAAATAACAGCAATAAAAACTAATAAATTTAAAAGATAAAGTAAAATCAAATGAAAAAAATTTATATTAAATAAAACAAAATAAAGTAAAATAAAATAAAACAAAGAAAAAAATAAAATATATTCATCCAAATTAAAATATATTAAGTTTAAGTAAAATAAAATAGTAACAGTAAAAAATAACAAATAAAAAGAGAAAATAAACATAAATAAAAAAATTAAAACCCAATAAAATAAAATAAAATAACAAAATGAAATAGAAAATTAAAAATAAAATAAAACATAATAAATAAAATTAAATGAAAAAAATTAAAAAAAAAACAATTAGACAACAATAAATAAATGAAAGAAAATAAATAAAAATGCAACAAAATTAGTAAAATAAAGTAAAACCAAAAAAAATTAAAATCAAAAAGAAATTAAAGTAAATTAAATAAAATTAAATAAAACAAAATAAATAAATTAAAATGAAACAAAATAAAACAGTTTGAATAAAATGAATATAAAAAGACAAAATAAAATAAGCAAATCCAATAAATAAGGAAATAATGTAAAATAAAATTAAAAAAATAAAAATAAAAAATATAATAGAATAAAACAATTAAATAGTAATAAAATAAATTAAAATGAAATGTAAAAGAAACAAATAAAGTAAAAAATGAAAAATAAAATAAAATTAAATATTAAATGGGAATTTCTGCTTACCAATTCGAACAATTTCAAGATTCCGGAAAATGACTTCAGATATCCCGTATTAAGTACAATATACGATGTATTTGTGGTGCTGGTGGTTGTTCTGGTGATTGTCACGGAGTGAGACATATTTGAAGCTCTTTTTTAAATGCTTTAGAGGTGCAGAGAAAAATTCAATTGAGATTCTTTAGCTGTAAAAAGAAATTAAGTAATTGGAAAAATATGTTAAGAATACACAACTTAAGGAGTTTATAATAAAATAGAATTTAAAGTATTTTAGAAGTCTACAATAATCACACTGTTTACAGATAACGATCAATTACGCGAAGTTTTAGAAATTAATTGACTACATATTATAAATAATTTAACCCTTAATTTTGCCGCAAATCGGTAAAATTTTATAAATGGTTTTTTTTTATAGTGTTTGTTCTTCTTTAGCTTATACTCAAACCAACAACTACTATAATACTATTACTTAAATTTAAAAATACTGTTAGTTATTGTAAATATATAAGTATGTTTTTAGGAAATATAACCTAGACTTGTCATTTTCAATCAAATGTGTAAATTATTACTTGAAGGACTCGGCGAAAATGCAATAAACATTTACAAACAAAAAAAAAACAGAAAACAAATAAACACAAAGCGTTTTTTTTTAAATATTAAAGTGTTTACTCGATTTCGTAGATTGCCAAAGTCATGCAACAACATTTATTTTTGCGTATGTGACGTCATTAGCGTCAATTGGAATATATGGGCGGCATGAAAATGCATTTGTTTTTCTTAACTCTATTCTAAAACTATCCAAGAATATGTTTCCAAAATTTCAAAAGCCAGCTCGTAGCTAGAAAAGTTTTAAGCGCGTTTTTTCGAGATTTCATTTTTACAAGTCTTAGAAAACGATGCCTTTGATACCTAGAATAATATGTGACCGATCTAAAAGAATAAAAATGATCTAGCTTCTGTATTAAATTAACCTCTATTTGAGTTGAAAAAGAGTATTATTGAAACTACTTTTTTTTGCAACTTGAAGTGATTTAAAAAAAAGTTAATTTTTTTCAAACTTGGAAAAAGTTGGATTTTGAAAAAAAAAAAATGGTTCGACTGTTTCACATGCATTGCACGATCTCCGCCACCGGCACTGTTTCACGAGTTCAGACTGCAGTGAAAAATCCGTCAAAAAGCATCTAAAAGCGTCTTATATGCAAGAAATTCATTTAACACACCGAATCAACGCTTGTGATATGCACCTTAAACGCAATGAATTTGATCCGTTTTTAAAACAAATCATAACTGGAGATGAAAAATGGATTGTTTACAACAACGTTAGTCGAAAACGATCATGGTCCAAGCATGGTGAACCAGCTCAAACCACTTCAAAGGCTGATATCCACCAAAAGAAGCTTATGCTGTCTGTTTGGTGGGATTGGAACGGTGTCGTATATTTTGAGCTGCTTCCAAGGAACCAAACGATTAATTCGGATGTTTACTGTCAACAATTGGACAAATTGAATACAGCCATCAAGGAGAAGCGACCAGAATTGGTCAAGCGTAAAGGTGTCATATTCCACCCGGACAACGCTAGACCGCATACATCTTTGGTCACTCGCCAAAAACTGAGTGAGCTTGGCTGGGAACTTTTGATGCATCCACCATACTATTTCGATCTTTGCAGAACTCCTTAAATGGTAAAACGTTCGGCAATGATGAGGCTATAAAATCGCACTTGGTTCAGTTTTTTTGCGGTTGAGCGTGGAATACTAAATTTGCCAGGAAGATGGCAAAAGGTTTTCGAACAAAATGGCAATTATATATTTGATTAAAGTTCATTCTAAGTTTTATTAAAAATGCATTTACTTTCTTTTAAAAAATCCGCAATTACTTTTTGGGCAACCCAATATATCGAAATGGGAGAGCCATATTATACATACATATGTACAACCCGATAACCGATTTATTCAGAAATGAGGACACAGGACACAGCCTCATATTTTTACTTAACCTCACAAAACATTGAGTTTTCCTATGCCTTAATGTTAGACAAGGGGGAGGATGAAAAATAAACAGACTGACTAAAAAATCACTAAAAAATCTACTGAAGAATTTTTTAATACGAGTTTTCATTAAGGAAATTTTAATAATGATTAATATATGTACAAATGTATATGCGAGTGCATTTATACATATGTGATGTATATTATTAAATATGTATAAGTTTATATATGTACTTAAGTACATACGATGATATGTATGTTTGTAAAACTTTCAATGAAACTGGTACAAGAAATTCTTGTATTCGTGAATCGTCTGACCTATTTTTAATAATATATATATACATATGTATGTATGTATGTACATATGTACGTATATAAATACGAAAACAATGTAGAACAAATGTCCTTGTTTGTTATAAACATTTTCATATACACATTCATACAAACCAACAAGTTTCTTCATGTATGTACATACTCGTATATACATTTATATTTACTTCAATGAAAACAAAAGTATGTTTGTCGCAATTACGCCATTATCGCATACCGGTTGTGCAGCAATGCCGGCTTTTTCAGTTAACTGCAATGTACATATATCCATACATATGTGCGTGTACGTGTATGGGAGTAAGTATGCACGCGTGTGTGTCTGTTTTGTTGCGATCGTGCGAGGTCTACCGTTCGATGAGTAGGCCGGTCGAAACATTTATAATTATAAATATGATGTGGGAAGAAACAGACACGCTTACACATACGTGCATATCCACACACATATACATACATATGTATATTTAGACATACAAACACACCAAAGTAGCGACAACAGCTTTCATCAATATAACGAGAAGTATATGTTTTCATTTAAAAAGATTGATTCATTCTTATCTCTAGTAAGTAAGAGAAAACAGAAATATAAAATCACTATGTACATACATATTTATATGCTCTTTTTTGCAATAGAAAGAATTTCTTTGTCGATAGCAGATTTCTTATTTGGCTAGTAAAACGTACTTGTCTGATAAGAAAACTAATTAGATTTTATAAAAAAAAAAAAAATATTCCGAGTAATTTTTTCTATGTAAATATTTGACTACTAACAGAACAAATGATTCATTATAAAAATTAGAAAATTCTTATTTATGTATGTACATATGTACATAGTTAACCGTAGCTTGAAGAAACAGAGTTTCTAGGCGAAATAGAATCAGAAGAAGAAGAATAAAAAGAAGAAGAAGAATAAAATAAAGGGTAGGAAAATTAAAATAAATAACACAAAATCCATGTGTTAAATTAGATCAAAAAACTTAAGTAAAAAGTAATATATCAGGTGTACAACTTTTCTTCCGCCGTTTTCCGATAGGTGGCTGTACCGGCTGAGGCTGGTTGAAATACATAGATGATAATGCCTTTAAAGTGAGTGTGGACAGTGCCTAACGAATTGTCATCGCCGTTTCAGTGACAGTTGTTCTTGTTTTTGTATTATTCACGCTCGAAAATGTCCGTTTATGTGCCTAATTCTCGCCAATTGTGGGAAGTTTTACTTTTCTGTTACAATTCGAAAAAAATATGCAGCTGAAGCGCATCGAAGCGCTCTCAGAAACTTACGGTGATGCTGCTCTGAGTGAAATAACTAGTCGGGAGTGGTTTCATCGTTTTAAAAATGGTGATTTCGATGTCGAAGACAAACATGGTGGTGGAAGAGAAAAAACCTTCAAAGATTTACTACGAGCTCTTAAAACCGGGTGAAACCATCACAGGAGATCGCTACCGAACGCAACTGATGCGCCTTAGTCGCGCGCTAAAAGTCATCCTCCAACACGTCAATGCTCGGCCTCTCGTCGCAAAAGTGGTCAAAAAGTACCTGGAATAGGAAGTCTTACCCCACCCGCCGTATTCCCCAGATGTCGCCCCTTCTGACTTCCACCTATTCCGTTCGATGGCACACGGCCTGGCAGATCAACATTTTCAATCCTTCGACGAATTGGAAAAATGGATTGCTTCGTGGATAGCGTCAAAAGAGGACCCCTTTTTTCGAGCCGGGACTCGAAAATTGCCAGAAAGATGAGAGAAAGTTGTCTCTAGCGAAGGACAATACCTTGAATAATATATCTGTAAGCACTTTTTCGCAATAAAGCTTTTAATTTTGAAAAAAAACGGCGGAAGCAAAGTTGTACACCTGACATACAAAATTATAATAATATAACCGCTAGAACGATTTTCAGTCGAGCTTCTCCTCCAATTTGTGGTTTTGCATCTTGATTTTTGCCACAATAGAGGAACCTACAGTTTATTTTAAGCCGCCTTCGAACGACCGATGGATTTTTATGAGAAACTTTTTATTTCATGTCAGAAATACATTCCTTGTGATTACCTGCCGAGGGGCGACCGCAATTAGAAAAAAAATATTTTCTATAATTTTGAATATTGGTCGAACCAGGGCTCGAACTCTGACCTTCAGAATAGCAGTACTGAATGCTAACCACTTGTTAAATTTGGCAAAAATGTAAAGGGTATTTTTTTAAGTCTTATGGTTATCAATACTCAGTTTGCCATTCCACAATGAATAGGCTTACTTTAGAATCCTGCAAATTTATCACCAAAATAATGGTTTGGCTCGTTCGTTCAATATTCGGTCGGCACAATCGTCAGTAGTTCGAGCGCATCCTCCGAGCTATTATTACAGCTGTGGAACGAAATATAGTATAAGACAGCTTTGAGTTCATTCGAAAACGTGCGCAACAATTGGTGCTTTGCCCATCAACTCAATTTGAAGATTTTGTGAAGGAATCTTAGTTTGCTTACGACTATCAAGCGCGTGGCATGTTTAATGAGTGCGGTCAAAACGAGTTGGTCATCGATCCTAATTTTCACAGAAATTTTTATCTAGCGATGAAGCTTTCTTATGGTTGTTTGGTTATGTTGAAAGCCCGAATTCTCGCATTTGGAGTAAGGATAATCCACAAGCTACATCCTCAAGAAGTCACAGTTTAGTGTACTTTATGTGCAGAGGAATCATTGGTCCACATTTCTTCGAAAATGAAGCCGGCCATAACTTTACAGTCAATGGGGAACGCTATAGAGTCGGATTAATAATTTTTTCCTACCTGAGTTGGAGTATGTAATGTGGACAAACTTTGGTGCCAACAAAATGGCGCTACATACCATACGGCCATCGAAACAATCAATTTATTGAAGGA